ACTTAAATGAATATGAAAGTTAGTGGGTTTTTTTCCTGGTACCGGAGAAAAACCAAAAAAAAAAAAAAAAAAAAAAAAAAAAAAAAGACCAAAAAGCATGAATATTAACGAAGTTATAGACAAATGAGTTGAACATACAGGAATTCTGTAACAAAAAATAAACACTCAACTATGAGAATAGTTAAAGGTTATGAAAGCATCACTGAAATACAGTATTCATCTCAGTTCCTACTTTGAACCTTTACTGTTTTTACTGCTCAAAAGAGGCTCTATTTTCTTTCGGATACTGCCATTTCTTTCCTGCTTAAGCTCCAGATTCCAGTGGGAAACAGTGCCCTGTTCATAGTTCTAAGGTACGAAGAAAAATTTCTCTGGATTTTTATAACTGGAGCTAGGAGTGGAGCACTTTTCCCCTCTGGTTGCTGACTTGCAGGACAAATCGGAGAGACAACCTACAGCCACATGGGAACACCTTTCTGAGGTGAAAGAGAACAGAGCCAACACCTTGAGAAGGGGCAGTGGGGGGAGGAAGGAGGGCAGGGAGGAAGAGACAGAAGTGGAAAGAGATGAGACAAAGAGCAACAAGCCACAGAAATGAAGCATGCAGGACAGAGAAAGAAAGAGCACGTGTGTACTCGAGAACAACGAGACTGAGTGGTACAGAGGAAGAAAGAGGAAAGCATGCTCCAGGAGTCAAAACATCAGAGCAGACAGACGGGGGTAGGTACATTTATAAGCATCCAGGTTTCCTGAGCCCAGAGCTGACTGCTTTCTCTGTGGTTCAACAAATTATCCTTTTGGTTTTTATCAGTTCAAGTTAAGGCACAGATACATGCCACTGAGAGTTCTGTCTACTTTTTGTAAGAGTATGACTTATATTTCTCTGGATTTTTGTACAGCTTTAAGTGAGCTCAACACCTAACTTCAGATCTTTAGTATTAGATAAGCTGGCTTTTACTAGTCTGCTATGATCTGGATATTTGTGTCATCTTAAATTTCTGTTGCTCTTCTGCGGTCCTCAGGATTGAACCCAGGACTGTGCATGTACTAGGCAAGGGCTCTATCACTGAGGTACACTCCCAGACTCCCTAAAATTCTTATATTGAAACCCTACCTTCAAGATGCTATTAGGACACAGGGCTTCTGGGAAGTGACTAGGCTGTGAAGAGCACGACCGGGTAATGAGAATCCTCAAAAATGGGAGATTAGTACCCTAATAAAAGAGGACAGAGCTAGACAGTGCCACCAATGAACCAGAAAGGCGGCTTTCACAAGGTACCAAATCTGCTGGCACAACGGTCTTAGGCTTTTCCCCTTCCAAAACTCGAGAAATAAATTTCTGCTTATAAGGTACCCAATCTATGATACTTTGTTGCAGAACCTGAATGGACTAGGACAAGTCACATGGGAGCAGTCCTATCTCAAGACTGACTAGTACGCTCTTACAAAGAGAAATGGGGAAGCTCAGTAAGTATAAACTCTAAAACGGGTGAATGTGAAGAAAGGGCAACAAAAACAATACAATCTGAAGAGGGAGGGAAAATTAACATAATCACTGAGACAGCATGATAATATTAAAAGTTAACACAAAAAATGTGAGCCATGCTCCACATTCATTAAAGTAGGATATGTAGCAGACTTGATCCCTGACCTTTCAACTACTTTATACTACCACCTGGGATGCAGCATGCCCTCAGAAAAATTATAAAAAATGAACTAAGCCCAGGGAAAAACATTGGTGTAGGACTAAGAGAATCATTAAACTTCCAGTGTTTTCTTTTCCTGTCATGTGAATGCATCTGTGTATGTGAAAATATAATTTGGTGAGGCAGACAGTCTGAGGTAATTTTCTGATGACTTGGCTTTCCCCAAATAAACTGGCAGAGGACATCCTTTTCCTGTCTGTATCTAGTTAAGCATGAATCTACAATGAGAAGAACCACAGGTTGAAATCAAGAGTTAAAAACCAAATCTTCAAATTTAGGAAAAGTATTAAATAAGAATTTTACACTTTCACTGATCTCTTCTGTATTCTTACTTTTAGTCAGACGTTCAATTTTTCATGTGTCTTTGTATTTCTTATCTTCCTGGTAAGGGCAAAAACCCTATGAAATTAATTTTCTACAGTTACACAGTCTAGGGTGGTCTGTTATGTATCTCCACAACAGGAAGCAGGCAGGCAAAGTAAGGGTTCCTTTGCTCTGTATAAGAAAGTTTAGTTTTCTGCCTTCTCCTTGGAACCAATATTGGTTTCTACTTTCCAATATCATTTAACTAAAACAAAAATCATAGATTCCTGCTTCAGCCCCAATATTGATTCAGCATGAAATATCGGGAGATATAAAATCTGTTCTCCATAAATTTACTTTCACTATGTAAAATGTCAAGTTTTTAAGTCACTATAAAAAAGCACAGTGGGAAAGTGATACAACCCACAGAATAATCGTTCTAAGGAGGGAGACCTCTCTCTTCCTACTAGAAAAACATGGGAGCTAAAAATGAAAATGTCATCTAGGTGGTGTTACAGGTAGAGGAACATAACTACAAAACCAGGGTAGGAAAAAGCAAACATGTTTGAGGAGTAGTGTGTATATTTGTCATGGAAAAGAATCTAGAATATTTAAGGAGGGAAACATGGAATATAAAACTAAACTGCAGATTGTGGTGAGAAGTGAGGCTTTGAGCTGGTAGTGCAGAGTGTCAATGAGATAATGGTGACACACAGAAGCTCCTTAAACAGGGGAGGGATGAGAGCCACCGTACTCTTGCGATGTATTTCACGGCGGGAGCTTCACAAAAAGAGAAAGTTCATCTGTGCAGGGCAGTATACACCTGCAATTCCAGCATTCTGGGAGTCTAAAGCAAAAGGATCGTAAGTTTCAATCCACCTAGGTAATTTAGTGAGACTCTATCTCTAAACAAAAAATGCTGGGCATACAGCTCAGGGCAAAGGCGCCATTAATAAAAAGATGGAGATTTTTGATGAGGACATACATGACATTAACAGAAATGTTAAAAAAAAAGGTGGAAGCGAATATTCGATGAGGCCAGGCTAGTAGAGGTAACATGAACACACCAGTGGAAATGTAGTACCAGGGATCTAGTGAAGTTGGCACTGGAGTTGTGAATTAGGAAACTGCTGCCATGAAGGATTCTTAAGAAGACACTTACAAATTTCTTACACAGAAACAAAGACAGATAGGTAGGGGATGAACGCGTGCCACAGGCTACTTATATGAGTCAATGAAATGACAAATCCCTTTGTTCAGGAGTTAGTATTTCACAATTTTCCAGCTCTCAAAAAAGACTGAAGCACAATACACAGAAAACACAGCTGAGGAAGCAGCACTCATTCTCTTGAGCAGTCTCTAACAATGCATAAAACATTCTCTGCAAGCACACTGTAACATCCTACTGCACACTTCCAACTAACTTTTAAGCTAATCTGATTACAAACGTACTCAGAGTAGAACCATTACTACTTGAATTTTTCTGACAGGCTGCGGTACATACATTGAAGTTTCTTTGAGAGTTAGGAGATTTTACTTTTAAACAAGTCAGAAAAACTCTGAAAAAGGAAACAGCAATATAACCACACATTTGGCTATATAAAAAGGTAGTGTTCCCGCTAAGAACTGCTATTAGTATCATTTCATAAGGTTTCGCTTATACAGTTACAGGCTATGTATTTACATTTAAAATGTCTCAAATCCTGAAATTCATATAATCAGAAAAATCAACTATATTTGCAATGTATACCTGTACCTAAAGGGTGTATTTATAGCTTTAACAAGTACTCCAAAGGTAGCCTGAGGTAAAGGAGATACTTCTTTCCTTTGTGCTAGTCCCAAGGAACACACACACACACACACACACACACACACACACACACACACACTTTGCATTTTATTTACCTTATCCATGGATTTTTATGAATTGTAGGTCTAAACATTCTGCATTTTTATGGGTGTACTTTATCATTCTAATTCTGTTCTAATCCTCTTACCTTTTTTTGGTGTGTCTTTGTTTTTGTTTTTGAGACAGGGTCTCACTCTGTAGTGAGGCTGGCCTTGGACTCACAGTGACCCTTGCACCGCAGCCTTCTGAGCGCTGGGATTGCAGGCCTGCGCCACCACAGTCAGCCTAATCTTTTCACCCTTTAACTTTTACCTACATTTTTTTTCTAATTTTATTTTTTAACAGTACACTGTTTATATTCTCCTTAAGATTTGTCAAATATTCAAATAATAATGCTCACATAAGGAACATAACAAAAACTACCCGAGCACCTACCACCAGTAGAAACACAGTGGTAACAATGTCAACTGGTAATCTTCAGATTTACGATCTGTATAGAAAATATACATGAGAAGTATACATGTGTTAGTGGACATGAAGTGCTCCCCGCTTCTGTTTTTATTTTAATCTTCATGGTGTTTCTATCTTTTGGCTGTTACCCAAGAGTAAACTATAAGAAAGAGTTTGAGAATTTTTATATTCTTTGGCTACACGTAGAAGATTTTATGTTACGTTTTTGCATTTTGCCTTTAGCACTATCATAATTTTCTCCTTTAAGTTTCTGTGTTCCAATTTGCTTTTTAGAAATTTCAATACTTCTGTTATTTTTACCTGTTTACTTTTCCTAGATTAATTAAGACTTACATTCACATACGGCACTATATCACCTTTTTAAAACCTGTATGATCTGCTTATATGACTTTCTGGAAAATACAAAACTGTAAGGGCAGAAAACAGATTGGTGGTTATGAGGGGCTGACTACAAAGAGGCACAGGTACTTTCTGAGGTAACAGAAATGGTCTATGACTTGATGTAGGCTACCCTACAGGGGGTAAATTTTAGCTGGGCCCAGTGGCACATGCCTGTAATCCTAGCTACTTGGGAGGGTGACTAAAAGATACGAGTTTGAGTTTAGTGTGGGCACCACAATAAAACCAAAAGGGCAAGGGTGTGAAATTCTACTGTTATGTAAATTATTTATCAGTTCATATGAAACACACACATACAGAATAATCTAATAGGGACAACTGAGTAACTTGGTTCTGAACATGATTCCGAGAGGAGAGCAAAATGTAACTGTTTCCTGGATATGAAAGTGTCTTCTTGGACCCCTCGGAATAAGTAGGATGGCTGGCAGAGACACTACCTATTTGCAGTTTGCCCACTCTTAACGGACTGTAGGGTGCTAGTTGATGTGCTGTGCTTCAGAGGGTTCTCTAAGCATCTTTGTAAAGAAATGAGCTGTGTACAGTCCACCCTCTAGTGCATAGTAAAGCATCGGTCTTTACAACTGACCCAGAATATCAATTTGTACAACATCCTTTTAACCCTTCTCTCACAACTATCCAGGGATCTGCTCCTTGCTCCAAAAAGGTAATCACTGATTCCAAAGCCTGTCAACACCATGTCTCCATGCACTGCGTCTCCTAGCAAGATCCAGACAGTCTCACCAGAAAAATCTAAGGCATCACATGCATCCTTAGACTTGAGTAATCCAAGGTCAATCTTTCTCATGGTTCCTCTCCTAGAAAAACAGAGCTCTTCTTTGATTTTTTGGTATAGAATCTTACTTCTTCCACAGGATACTTCTTTTGGCGAGGAACAGAATGCACTGAGGCCAAAAACTACACAAATACAGCAGATGGGTCCAGAACCACTGTATCATCTTATTTTTCCTTTTTTTTTTTTTTTAAATGTTGTTTTGTGTTTGTTTGGGGTAGGGCCTTATTATACAGCCCAGACTGACCTTGAACTCAGGGTCCTTGAGCCTCAGCCTCCTAAGTGCTGGGACTACAGGTATGTACCACATACCTGCCTTTTTAAAATTCCTTGTTCTGTGTACTATAAAATGACAATCAGGGAGATGCAGATGACTACAGTAGTAACTTCTGTTGAGAAAAGCCATACATTAACCAAAAAAATACAAGGTGTTATTTTTTTCCCATCTTGCCTCTACCTACAAGCTTCCATTCACCGAGGAAGGCTGATCTTCCTAAAGCAGCCCAATCTGGGTATCTCAGTAGGACCACAGTCTAAAATCCGTCTCTTAGACAGTAAAGAACTATTTCTACAGCATGTAATACCGTATATGGTAGCCATTAGACACACTGGGCACATAAATGGTAGCCTGAACTGAGATGTGTTGTAAATTTAAATTAAACTGTCTTTTGAAAATCTAGTATGCAAAAAAGAATGCAAAATAACTCCTTTGTGAGTTTAAAATATTTATTAGGTTAAAATTATAATATCTGGACATATTGTTCTAAGTAAGATGTATTACTAACAATAATTTTACCTGTTTCCTTTTATAAAACTTTATTAATTTTCCTGTTTCCACTATAAAATTTATAATTAAACATGTGGCCTACATTAAGTTTCTTTTAGTCCCTACACAATACATCTCAATTCTTGAATAAATCAATCAATACCAAATATACTCCAGTTATTCTATGAAAAGTGTCTTATATTCTACACATATAATTTCTCATGAGAGCAACCCCTGGGTTCCAGGACATAGAGCATCACTCCCAGGAAACAGCTGCAACATCTTACATTGATGGAGACATCACAGAAACTCCATCATCAGGATGGTGAGACACTGCATGGGCCTGAATCTAATTTGGGATTAATCTCAGCAGGATTGTGTGAGGCTGCTATCAGTGTATGGGTTTTTCCACACCTCTATTTCTATTATAAGGATCACTGAAAATCTCAGTATGCTAAATTTCTTTTGGGTTTTAGAAAATGGAAATGTCCATAAACATACTATTTTCTATTTAGTTCCCTCTAGTAATAGAGGCATTATAATATAAAACCAACTTTAATTTTACTCATAACTTCTAAGTACAGAAGAATGAAACTATTGTAATAAAAATCAACATTCTGTAAATTCTAGTTGTTACACACACATACACACACACACCACACACTCTTTTGGTGGTGGTCCTAGGGACTGAATCCAAGGCCTTTGCACTGAGCTACACATTAGTCTTTAGTTTTAGTTATTTTTTTGAGACAGGGTCTTGCTAAATTGCCCAGGCTAGGCTTGAACTTGCAATCCATTTGCCTCAGCCTCCTAGAGTGTTGAGATGATAGGTGTGTGCCACCACACTCAGCTCAAAAACCTCTTTTTAACCAAAGTAAGCATTATATATTTTTGGGTTTTTTTGAGACACAGCCTCACTACGTAGTCCAGGCTGGCCTCTAACTTGAAGTGATCCTCCTGCCTCAGCATGTGCTACTATGGCCAGCACAGCAATCATTATTAATATGGATCTACCCGGGTAAAAGAGAATACTGTAGGCATACTGCTGAACTGTACGGAATCCTTCTCAAAGGTCAGATTACCATGCTAATAGGGCTTGCAAATTTGAAACAGTATGTAAAGGGATACTTTTCCAAAGACCTTATCCTTGAATTTCATACCCTAATTTAAAGAATTTAAAGATATATGACCATCTAAGGCATAGGCAAAGGAAATTTTGCCTAGTAAAAAAGCTATATGCAAAAAAAAAAAAAAAAAAAGCTATATGCAGAACATACAAACTCCTGAGGTTATTACCTGATAAATATCAGATAAACTGCTGCTTCCAGAATCACTGGCAATGCTACAGCCAGACTGACTAGAAGACACGTGAGTCACCTGTGGATGAGGGCTGTCTGTGAGATGCATCTTGGTAAGATCAGCTGGAAGCTGAAAAAGAAAAATACTCTGAGTTACTCTAAATGTCAGTCTTTACCTTTTTAAAGAGTTCTGACATAGTTTAACTTTTTGCTTTTTTAAGACAGGGTCTTGCTATATAGTTCAAGGTGGTCTTAACTCACCATGTAGCCCAGGTTGGCCTCAAAATCCTGGTGATCTTCCTGTATCACCCTCCTGAGTGCTGGAATTAGAGGTGTGTGCCACCACACCCAGTCACAATATAACTTTTGTAGCACATTGTTATGTATATTACTATGAAACTTCATTTTCTTTCCTGTGTTTTTAGAGACAGAGTCTCACCATGCGCTTCAGGCTGGCCTTGAACTTACTATGTCGCCTCGAGTGGCCTTGAACTCATGGCCATCCTCCAGCCTCAGAATCCTGAGTGCTGGGGTTACAGGTGTGCATCACCACGCCCAGCTCAAAATTTTCTATCCTAAAATTTTCATTCTTAGTAGAAGGCTTTTGAAGTAGTAAAAACCAAAGAGCATTCTCTAAAAGTATTAGGCAATCCTAACAGCAACAAGCCTATAAAAATTTTCAAGAGAGACTGCCATCATTGTTATTTCTAAGGAAAAATGTGGCCCTTCCTCCCCCCAACTAAAAATATCAGATGTTTCCATTGTAAAGGGTAGGAATGCTCTAAGCACATGCACACACGTATGCACACACACTCCTCCATCATTCATATATAATGGTGGATAACTCTAAAATAAAACAGATTGCCCGGTATTAAAGTACACTACATGAAGCCGGGCGTGGTGGTGCACGCCCGTAATCCCAGCACTTTGGAGGCTGAGGCAGGAGGATCATTGCGAGTTTGAGGTCAGCCTGGTCTACAAAGTGAGCTCAAAGCCAGCCTGAATGGCATAGCGAGTCCCTGTCTCAAAAAGAGAGACAGACAGACAGAGACACACACACACACACACACACACACACACACACACACACACAGTATACCACATGGGGGTTAGTACTTAAGTAAAAAACTGACTATATTCAATAACCCTGAAACTTCATAACCATCTTTACACTTAGTATTATTTGATAGTTGATGCCTGTGAAATATATTATATCCAAATGATTTAATGACTATCTGTGCTAGGTGCAGACATACAAGAAACACAAGAAAGAAATAAATCCACCACCTCATCTTAAATATGGTCACATCTTTATCAGGATGCAGACTGTATAATACATTTCATACCCTAAACACACATTTCATAAAATAATGAGTTAAGAAGCAAACCACTGCACTCTGGAGACTCTCTGAAGGGTAGTGAAAGTTTTATAAAGGAGATATGCTTATTTTTTTCTGAATAATTTCTTTGCAACTTGATATTTAGGACCATTAAAGGCAGTCAATTTTACTTTTAAAAACAGGGTTTGGTTTCATTTGGAAAAATAGAAACACACAATTAGTGTAAATTAAATACATTCTAAAAAAGAAATTGTTCATATGTGAATTTTGTACATTCTATATCAAGAGGAGTTACTCTAGTTATAGAAACTACATGCAAAGAAACTGAGTCATAAACTTCCCCTGAGGATAATGATTGGTTAGGTAACTCAAGTGAATCCTGTATCTCAGACAAATGGAAAAACCCAAAACCACACTACACACACACGTTCACACATGTAGTATGTGGTCTTTGAGGTTGCTTTTCCACTAAGAGTACTTTTTGATTCCTAAAGAGGCTAACAGGCTGGGAAACACCTTAGCAACAGGCTATCAGGCTAACACTGAACTCCAAGGCTCAGCACAGAAGGACCATCTTGTGTTGGAACCCTGAGGCGTGAGGGACACTCTAGGAGTTAGGTGTGACCCAAAAGCAAACTTATTTTAGAATCATCTCAGTGCCTGATGCTGGGCTAAGGCTGGACTGGATTGCTAGTGCCTACATGCCACTGTTGGAAGGAAACACAAATTTATTTTTGTATACTTTCACCTTTTCAAAAAAAAATTTAAAAATGTAAAAATCATTCTTAGCTCACAGGTCATATAGCTTAATGGCAGGGCATCGTCCACTTCAGTGATCCACTACACATGGAAAGCAAAGACCAAGACTAACAATTTCAGAAAAGAAAAAGTTAACAAAAAATGAAAATTTTAGAACCAAAAAATACAATTATAGAAATTATAAAGCCAACAAGTGGGATTGATTAACAGATGTGGCAGGGCTAAGAAGAAAATTTAAAAGTACACTGGTGTGAAAAAAATATCTGGAATGAAGCCTGGAGAGTAAAATGAGTAAAGCTAGAGGAGAAGGGTTAAAAGAGTACCTGAGACAGGGTGAGAACACGCCATCCAAATAACCAGTCACAGCACGAGAGAGACAGTATTTAAGGCACAGAAGCAAAATGATGTCTGCAGATTTTAAAAAACTGACAAAGACATGAAGTCTGTTATCAAGAAAGTTTTATTTTGTTTTCTTGAGACAGGGCCTTGCTATGTAGTTCAGGCTGCCCTTGAATGCTGCCCTTGAATTTATGCAGTCCAGGCTGGGCTCAAATTCACAGCTATCCTCCCACCTCAGCCTCCTGAGAGCTGGGCTTACAGGCACACATCACCATGTCCAGCACTCAAAAAGTTTCAAGAACTCTCAGAAAGACGAATATAAGCAGAACTATACCTATTCACCTCAGGGTAAAACTTTTGGAAAAAGAAAAAAAAAAAAGATTTTGTCAGTTAAAAAATTTCGTCTATCAGTACATTCTGTAATAAACAAGGAGTCATCTACTGCTCAGAAGTGATAAAATTAAATAAAAAAATTTAAAATAGGAAAAAAAAAAAAAAAGACAAAGATGATAACCCTAAAGTCAGTCAGGTGGAAAAATGGAGAAGTCATCTAAGAGAAATAAAATTAAACTGATGGCTGACACCTCAACAGAATATATGGAAGCTGGAAGACAGGAATGATTATTTTCAAAAATCAGAATTCCACAGTCAGCCAAATAGCCCCTAAAAAGGGAGAAGAGCGCAACAGCTGGGCAGGGCGGCACATACACGTAACCTCAGTAGTCTAGAAGGCAGAGGAAGGAAGAGTCCAAGTTCAATCACAGCCTGGACAACTTCGCAAGAACCTGTGTCAGAAATTTTTTATTTTTTTGTTTTTTTTTTGGGTTTTTTTGGTTTTGGTTTTTTTTCCGGTACCAGGAATCGAACTCATGATCTTGCACTTGCGAGGCAGGCGCTGTACCGCTGAGCTAAATCCCCAGGCCCAGAAACTTTTTAAAAAGGGTTGGGGATATAGTTCTGTGTAAAGGTCCTGACCTCAGTCCCCAGTACTGCAAGGAAGAAAAAATAAAAGGCAAAAGAAAGTTATCTCCCAGCAGACTTAAAATGAAGGCGGTAAGGTGGGAGAAGAGAAACAGAATGACTTCAGATGCCAGCCCCAGTGCAGGATGGAAGTGGCCCAATGAGAACAGAAAACGTGTGAGTAAATCTACATGGGTAATGGCTATATGAAGTAGTAATATTAGTATCCACTGAAATTCATAATATTTGAAGAATTAAAATGCATTACACCAGAATGCAAGTCTGCAGAAAAGTAAATGAAGCTGTTAAAGTGCTCCATGTGCCTTGCACTACCCATGAAGCCAAAGCAGTAGACTGACAGATGAGGGTATGTGTTAAAATCTGATTTAAGAAAGACATAGGAAGAAAAATATATAGCCAATAAGCCAACATAGGAGAGACTACTAAATAGTAAAAAGGTTGGGAAAATACATACCATGCAAACACAAACCAAAAAAAAATAACAAAACAAAAACCTGATATAGCTACGTTAATACCAGATAAACCAGACTTTGAAGCAAAAGCACTAGTAGAGATGAAAGGGAACACTTCATAGTGGTAAAATGTGCTACACCAAATAAATATACATCTGGAAACATTAACTCAAAGTGTGTAGGGCAGACGAGGCATGCGCAGGGACACAAATACTGTATTATCTCATTTATACGTGGAAGCAAAAAGTTAAACTCACGGAAGCAGGCAGCAGCATGGTGGCTACCAGATACTAGGGAACACAAAGACAGTCACAGGGCACTAAGCTTCGCTTTGGTGATCTGCTACACATTAAATTAAAAATCACACACTGTGTATTTCAAAGTAGCTAGAGGTTTAGATTTTAAATGTTCTCATCACAAAGAAGTAAGTATTTGAGGTGGTAAAGATGCTGATTAGTCTGATTTGATCATTCTACAAGGTACACTTGTGTCAAAACATTACATATACCATTATTTGGCAATAACAAATAAAGTAAAAGTTTAAAAAAGGCAAATAATGACATCAATAAAAGGAGAACAAGATGAATCCACAGGTAGGCTGTGAAATGGTAATACTCATCTCTCCACGACAATTACAGTAAGCCAAAAAAGTTTTGAAGATGTGAACCTAATTTATAAACCTGACCAAAGTGTATATACACACAACACGATAGCCCCAAACTATACAGTATACATTCTTCTAGAATATTTAAAAAAATTTGTAAGAGCTGGTAATCAAGGAAAGAATCAACACATTTCAGAACCAAAATCACACATACTCAGCAATCACAATGCAAATAAGGTAGAAATAACAAAAAAGATGACTAGAAAATTATGAAGGATTGAGAAATAGTATAATAAACCTCCACACAGTCCATAAGTCAACCTAAGTCACACAGGAAACAAAATATTTAAAGAGAATAAAAATTAAAATGCTACATTTAAGAACCTCTGGGATAAGGTATTGTGTGTGTGTGTTTGCAGCACTGGAGATCAAACCCAGGGTCCTGTGCATGCCAGGCAAGGATTTAACCACTCACCTCTACCCCTAGTCCTAAAGTCATTCTTAAATGCTATATATAAGCTCTATTACATGTATTAGAAAAGGTAGCAAAAAAAAAAAAACAACCCACAAAAAAACAAAAAAAACAAACTAAGGCAGTGGTGAATCCACAGCCAGCTGTTTGTTATCACTGAAAGCTCTAAAAGGTTCCCCACTG